AAAAAAGACCGTCACTCTTTCCGACTCTGTGTAAATTTTTTTAGGATGAAGATCATGGTGGAGTTGTAGAATCTGGAAGATGTGAATAGGTCTTGAGAGCCTCCATCCACATGGCCTACCCGAGGGGGGGGGGTATCTATGATCTTCAACCGTGCGGTTACTATCTACACCGTTCCACGTCCCAGCTCGCCTATGCTCTCTTAGAAAAGGCCCGTATACGCTTGACACCGCCGTCCGGAATCATGATGAGCTTGATGTGCGTGAAGGCCTCGTCCTTGACGGCACTGTCAAAGGCGTGTTCCTGGTCCGGGCCCGTCTTGCTAGGGGCCACGAGGTCGACCCAGGCGTCGGCATCGTGGGCGGGTTCGCCCTCGCCAGACCAGCCGATGGCCTGCACGGCCACCTTTTGGGGGAAGTTGCCGCGGAAGTGAGCGGTGTCGACGACCAGGCTCTGCACGTAGGCGGGTGCGCCCAGCCTGATGATGGCCCAGTCGACGTGGTCCCTCCCACGGGAGCGGGCCGTCTCCCACCCGTCGCCCATGTCCTTGCCGCGTCCGGGGAGGAGCAGGTTGTCCTTTGTGCCAAAGTGCTGGTCGCTGCACGAGACGGCGACGCCGCCGTTCTGCGCCGCGGCCAGGTCGAGCACGGCCTGCGGGTCGTCGGGGAAGACGGGGACGGCGTGCCCGAAGAGGCGGAAGCGCGCGATGCCTCCGTCCGGGTACATGTTCAGCCGGACGTGCGTGTACGGCGTGGCCGTGGGGGAGTCGAGCCTCCACCCGAAGCGCTGCGAGGGCCCGCACTCCTGCAGGCCCAGGATCGTCTCCCACCGGCCGCGCCCGCCCTTCCACGAGACGACCTCGTCGTCGTCGGAGCTGAAGCAGCCCTCCACCGAGATGGCGGGCGCGTGGTTGCCCGAGAAGTGGGCCGTGTCGACCTCTATGCCCTCGACGGTTCCCGACGCGACGCCGAGCCGCACGACGACCCAGTCAAAGGGCGCCGAGTTGTGCCGCCGCGTCTCCCATCCGTCGTACCAGGCTCCGGTGAAGACCATCTTGCCCGGCTGACGGATCGGAGGTGTGGGCGTCAGGAGGTTAGCGGCCTCGGCGAACCACTGGTCCGAGAAACCCAGGATCTTGCCGCCGAGCGCCCCCGACACGAGGTCTACCGAAACACGGTCAGTCATCAGACCATCATCCAGGGCGGATGGGAGAAGAAAGAGGTGGATATAGACGACTCACCAATGCAGCTGGAGCGGAACGTCGTGTCGATCTGGTCGGATGCCACGCGGGTGGCCTTGACCACGTCGAGCGGATATTCGGTCTCGGTCGACATGGCTGCTATGGACGGAGGTGTGAAGCGTCGAGGAGGGCCGGAGGGGGGTTAGGGGTTGGGGGTTGGGGGTTGAGGGTTGGGGGTCTATGCTGTCTATGTTGACGATGCAGATATATATGTATTGCTAGTGGTTGGAGAGAGTTTACGAGTAAACATGGATAGAAGAAGAAAATGTTTGTAAAAAAAGGAGAAAGAGAGAGAGAGGGGGGGGGGAGGAGGGAGAGAGAGGAAAGAGGTTGTGAGGAAGCGTATCTACGTAGTGTGGGGGACACGACAATAGGCGGCCGTCTCCGAAGAGAAAAAAAAGGTCGGGCTCCTATCCAGCCGGTCCTGGCCGCCGGGGAAATAGAAGTAACGGAGACAAAAAAAAAAAAAAAAAAAAAAAAGCAAAGCAGTACTGCCAATATCTTGATAGCAATATGTAATTTGTCATCTTGTCAAGGGAACGAGCCAACGTCGAACCTCTCTTTGATGCAAAACTGTACATGTAGATGCGGCCAAGATATTCTACAGAATATGACTTGCTATCCGACCAATTGCCATCTATACATGTCCTGTCCTCGGGCATCCTGACAGTGACAGTAGTAATACGAATCGAGTAATGATGGAGTAATAGAGGGGCTTTTCTAGCTTCAATTCCCCTCGATGCCCATCACTCTGATGCCCCGCATCTGAACTGCCCCTCCTTTACAGATAACGATAGAGGATAACGATAGGGACGCATGGCCAATCGGTCACGCAACAGGAAAGGAACAGAATCGAGGAAGAGGGGGAGGAGAGAGCATGATGATGACGATGAAGCAGGTCGTTGGATCTGATTTTTTTTTTTTATCTAATATTTCCCTTCTTTTTTTTAGGGTGGAAAAGATGGTATGAAGAATTTTTTTACTTGAAATAGTAAGTATTAGTATGTACATGTTCAATCAATTCTACCCAAAAAAAAAAGTCCTACGACTAATACCTCAGATAGACAAATCATGACGCGATAATGCGTCGTCCTAAACGCGGGGAAGTTCATCTACCCTACATCTCACTGCCCGGTCACGGGATGGCTACACATCTATGTACATGCTCAACACTCAGACAATCCAACGCCATCCATCCGCTCGGGGGGGAGAGAAAAAGATGTCTGGTCCGCCAGCGATCCCACGTTGGGCGATGCTCATCCTGTCGACTGCCGTCGTCCTGGTCGCCGCCGCAACCTTGCGTTTTCAGCAGCAGCAGCAGCAGCAGCAGCAGCAGCAACCACTCAGCTCTTCACCGGCAACGACGTACTGCTATCGCTCCATCAGGACACACGACCAGGACAGACCGACGGCACGATGCTTCTCGGTTGCCAACGGATTCTTCGTCAAAGTCCGGGATGAGATTGCGACGGAGGTCGATGTCGACGCGGAGATGCTAGATCCAGGCCATGTCATCCCGGGCCTGTGGGACGGTCACGGCCATCTCCTCCAGTACGGCGAGTTCCTCCACTCGGTCGACCTGTTCGGCAGTCAGTCTCTCGACGACGTACGCTCGCGCGTGAGGGCCTATGTCGACTCCCACCCGGGAGCGGGCACAAAGGAACAGTGGCTCCGAGGTGTGGGGTGGGACCAGACGGCGTTTGGACGGATGCCATCTGCTGTGAGTACTCTTGGGTCCTATACCCATGGATTTCTTCTTCTTCTTTTTTCCCCCCATCATTTCTCTCTTTCCTTCTTTCTCTTTGAAGGGCGAATAAAGCAAATTTAAAAATTTAAAAATTTAAAAATTTAAAAAAAAGAAAAGAAGCAAAGAACCTGACATCTGCAGAATGATATATCTCGAGACCCTCAATTGAAAAACATCTACATGATGCTTGACCGCATAGACGTGCACTGCGCATGGGTCTCGCAGCCGGTCCTGGACCTGTTGACCCCATCCGACCTGCCGGATTCCGTTCCCGGCGGCGAGATCGTCCGCGATCCGGGCATGGGCGTCTTCTGCGATAACGCCATGGACATCGTCACCCGGCTGTGGCCCGCGCCCTCGGACGACGTCAAGGCCAGCCAGGTCCGCAGCGCCATGGCCGAGCTCAACTCCGTGGGCGTGGTGGGCATGCACGACGCCGGCGCCACGCCCTCCACCCTACGCCTGTACCGTCGCCTCTCCGCCTCGTCGTCTGCCTGGACCGTCCGCCTCTACGGCATGCTCGAGTGCGACAGGCGCAACACGTTCTGCCCGGACGACGCCCCCAGAGGTGGCGGCGACGCCATGTTCCTCCCCGTCCGCAGCGTCAAGCTCTTCGCTGATGGCGCCCTGGGGAGCTGGGGCAGCGCCATGATAGACCCTTACTCCGACCACAGCTGGACGTCCGGCTCGCTGCTCGTCAACGCGTCCGCCCTGACGGGCGTCACCAGATCGTGGGCCGCGGAGGGGTACCAGGTCAGCATCCACGCCATAGGGGACCTGGCGAACCGGTACGCCATCGACGCCATAGAGGCTGCCCTGCTCGACCTGTGCGGCGGGGATCGGAGCCGGCTGGCGGGCTGCCAGGCGGCCGAGCACCGCTTCCGCATCGAGCACGCCCAGATCATCCACCCGGACGACCAGGCGCGCCTCCTCGGGCTCGGCATCGTGCCGTCCATCCAGCCGACGCACGCCACGTCCGACGCGCGATACGCCGAGGCCCGCCTGGGCAGGGACCGTCTGTCCTCGTCGGCGTACCGCATGCGCTCCCTGCTGCCTGCCCGTCCCGTCCTGGGATCCGACTTCCCCGTCGAGCCCCCCAACCCGTTCCAGGGCATCTACGCGGCCGTCACACGGCGGAGCCCTCGTGCCGGGCCGGCGGGGCCGGGTGACGGCAAGTCCGGATTCCTGACCGACGAGGCCCTCAGCCTGGACGACGCCCTCTGGGGGTTCACCCGCGGTCCTGCGTATGGGGCCTTCCTCGAGGACAAGGCCGGCGTCATCCGCCCGGGCGCCTACGCCGACTGGGTAGTCCTGGATGAGCCGTTGGATGAGGGTACCGATATCGAGAGTCTGCCATCGCTGAGGGTGCGCGAGACGTGGGTTGGTGGACGGCGGGTGTATTCCCGACATGATGGTGCATGACGTCAATCTTCGTGAGAGCTGCCTCCCCTTTCGCTGCCACTCTCTTAGGTTGACGCGCGTACATGCGGATATCAGAACTTTGGAGGGTTTTATATTATCTAGGAGGCAAGTCAAGATAGAAGACAGAAGAAGATGGAAGATGAAGAACCAAGATCAGATCTAGAGAATCGGGTATACTTTTTGAGAAACATGCCATCTCGGTCCAACCCATGAGGACGACAGACTAAACCACTGATGTCAGGACAGGGGTGCAGAGAAGAAGACAAAATATGTATAAAAGGAAGACAACCGTTATTGATCGTTCATGCTATGCCAGACACCGGGAACGCGGGGAAGAAAAGAGAAGAAGAAAATGAGTGGTTTGAAGTTGAAGATGAGAGAAGAGGAAAAGAGGGGGAAAAAAAGAATATAAAAAAAAAGATGGATGAAGAGGATTTTTTTTCCTCCCCCCTCTTTTCCTTTCCTTTACCAGAGAAAGAAGGGGGAAGAAGAGAGAGAAGGAGAAGAAGAGAAACAAGGGAAAGATCACGACTTGACGACCAGTACACTCTCGAGCCACTTTGCAAACTTGACAGTAGGGATATCAAAGGCCCTCCAGAAGATGTCAGCCCACATGACGATGCAGGGCACGACGAACAGGGAGCTCAGCATGAATCCCTTGTTGTACTGGAAGCCTTCCGTGCCCGTCGTGTCGTAGGCCCACTTCTCGATGAGGTAGCCCAAGGTGTGCATGACGGGCCCGTGGACGAGGTAGATGGCGTAGGAGATCTTGCCGAGGTACTGGACCGGGGCGGTGGTGAAGAAGGTCTGCCAGGCGGTGGAGCGGGCGGCCGAGGCGACGAAGACGACGGCGCCCACGCTCTGCCAGTACCGGTAGGGTTCCTCGACGGCGGTCCACCACTCGGGGATGCAGGAGGTGAGGTAGACCCATCCGGGCGTCTCCTCCCCGCGACCGTCGGGCTGGCACAGGAGGTACAGGCCCCCGATGCTGACGAGGTTCCAGATGACCTTGGAGGCTCGGGCGCGGTTGGCGGCGGCGACCTGCTCACCTTCTGAGAGGTGGGGCCAGGGGCTGGGGCCTGCTGCCACCGCCGCCGCCGCTGCCGCTCCCTTCTCGTGGGGGTAGCTCGTGGCCTTGTCCTTCTCGTCCAGGTTCGTGATGGGCAGCGTGGGCGGTGGCGACGAGGCGGGCCTGTCGTGAGCTCCTCGGATGAGATCGGCCTCGGCGAGGAGCATGCCGCCGAGGAAGAGGATGAACTCCCACCGCGTGCTGCGGTAGGTGAACCATCCGACGATCAGGACGACGAGGATGCGCACGTAGGTTCGGAGGCGGGCCGTGGCCGTCAGGACGAGGAAGAGGTATAGAGAGCAGCGGAACTCGATGGGAATGGTCCAGAGGTGAACGTCGTAGTCTTGGACAAGCACACGGCAGAGACGTGCAGCTTGTTAGCTTTGCTTTTCTCGGATGGGGGGTTTTTTTTTCCTTTATAACTTTATATATATATATATATATATATAAAGAGGAAGACGGGGGAAGGAGGGAGAGAGAGAGGAAAAACATACCAGTCCTTCCACCCGAAGGGTTCCAGTCCCAGACGTGGATGAAGCGAAACATGGCCCAGGCCCAGTCCCAGAACTGCTCTCTCGAGTCCTCAAACATGGGATAGTGCGGCTCGATGACCATGTGGTGGTAGTTGGGATCGTTTGCGAAGTCGCGGGTCCACTCGTAGGCGCCGTACCGGATCAGGAGGAGGACGATGAAGGTGGAGACGATGGGCGGGACGAAGAGGCGGACCCAGCGGCGGAAGACGAGCGAGGACATGGTGTCGGCCCAGCCGGCCATGCAGCGCGCGCGGGCGAGCTTGAGCGGGCGGTAGCTGAGGGCGTAGCCGGATATGACGAAGAAGACGCAGACGGCGGCGGGGCCCTGGTAGAAGATGCGGATCAGCGGCAGCTTGAGCCAGTGGTAGTTGGCGTCGCCGGCGCCGTAGCCCTCGGCGATGACGAAGGCCTGGTACGAGTAGTGGCAGAAGAAGACGAAGAGGGCGGCCAGGCCGCGCATGCCGTCCAGGTAGGCGGTCGGGGAGACGGAGGCGGGCCGGATCCTGTCGCGCCAGTGCCTGCCCTGCAGGAAGCTGGGGACGAAGAAGACGAGGGACAGGTAGGCGCAGTGCACGGAGCGGCCGACCAGGTGTGGGACGCCCAGGGCCGAGGCGACCCGGTACGATGCCTCCCAGGCCGTCGACAGGCGGGACGCCGACTCGGAGGCGAGCGAGGAGGCCGTCGAGGCGACCGTCGAGGCGGCCGTCGAGGAGAACAGGGACGAGTTGGAATGTGTCGACGTCGAGACCGACGAGGATGTCGAGGCGTATGACGACGCTGATGAGGGCGATGAGGCTCGTAGTGATCTCCCTCCTCCTCCTCCTCCTCCTCCTCCTCCTCCTCCTCCATCTGCTGAGTAGCTCGCCACTTCCACCTTGGGCTTCTTGTCGTCGAGTCCCAGAAGGCCCATGTTTGCGTCTGTCCGTGTATGTGTGTGCGTATATTTCTATAGATGGAGAAGGAATGAAGGGAAGAAGAAAATGTCGAATAGTGCCGAGAATATTCAGGAACCTGTCCAGATCATAGCTAGAGGGGGTTCGATGATATCCCCTGACGGAAAGGAATATATGCTAAAGAAAGACCAGAGTAATACGTGTGCAGAAGAGAAAACAGCATATAAGAGAGTGAAGGTGAGAAAAGTTTGAAGACGCCAAGACAGCAAAGAAGAAGAAACCACACAACACCGCACTTGGCAACCCGGTATAGGAAATATGTACTATGGGGAGAAGAGAGAGAGAGAGAGAGAGAGAAAGGCCGGGAAGAGCTTGGGGTGAAAAGGTGGGTATTCGAGAGAAGGTGTGTGTGTGTGTCTTGGGAAGGCCGGACTTGGGTAAGATGGCTTTCCTATCCGTCACCTGGAGGCGGCGGCCGAGTTATCCGTCGGATGAGGGTTATGAAACGAAAGAGGAATAGATATGAGAGAGAGTGTGTGTGTCTGTATGATGCGAGCAAGGAAGGGGGAGGGAGAGGGAGGGAGAGAGAGAGGTGTTTGAAGTGTCAGAGGTTTGTGAGGAGAAGAGAGTATCAAGGAAACCAAGCAGCTGCCAGTAAGCAATACAGGCAAATGCATGTAGCAAGTATTACTAACGCCGTACAGGCAACCACAAAAGTAACGAGTAAGTCCAACGGTACGGGTACCTGTAGGCAGTCACAACACTCTTGTACTCGTAAGAGTTGATGGGACCTGCTCGACAGGGAAAAGAAAGGAGTCGGGGTGAATGTGGAGTTTTTTTTGGGAATTTTTATTCTAATTTTTTTGGTTTTTTTTTTTGGGGGGGGGGGGTTCCTCCCCCCCTACCCTCCCTCCCTCTACCTGTACATGGCCAATGTAATGGTTGGACTTTGGGGGAATCTCGACTATCAGTAAATCCGTACTACAGAGTCTGCTACAGAGTCTGCTACAGAGTCTTGCGACTAGGCAGTACGATTCCCCAGTTGGGGGCATCTCTCTGGATAGAGTGATATGTAGGAGCGGGCGGCTACTCCAGGGAGAATTGCGTATCTCAAGAGTGGCGATGGTAGAAGGTATCACATGTATCCCAAGGAATCATTGATGTCCGTACCGGGGGGGGGGGGCGTGTGTCTGATCAGTTGGTTGGTTGATGGTCAGAAAGTAGCAAAGATGTATGAGAGGGCAGGCAGTGTCTGTTGTCGTTGTTGTCGTCGTCTATATACTCGTAGATGCGAGTGTATTCATGCTCGTAACATGACTCTCCACAAGGGCAAGGGGAACGAACTTGCAACTCTCTGTACACGGTATCCGTACACGGTGTCCGTACGCGGCGTCCGTACGCGGTGTCCGTACGCGGTGTCCGTACGCGGTGACTACGATCAAGATTGTACAGAGAGAGAGAGAGAGAGAGAGAGAGAGAGAGAGCATCAACAAGCACTCGGAGGAGTTACAGGACATGCACGGTTCAACTCTGAACTCCCTCTCCGTCCCTCGATGGAGTATCGACGGATGGTAGACGCGGGTCCCGGCCTCGGCTGGCGGCAAAGAGGACGTACATGTACGGAGTATCATCGTCATCCATTTATTTATTTATTCGACCATCATTTATTGTTTTGATGAATCCTTACCTGCTTGCAGCATGCTGCGTTCGGCCTTTCTGTCTGAGCCTTCCCTGCCGTGTCTACAGACTATCACCTCCCATGCCAGTCGGGACACGGACTGGTCGAGCTGTGATGATATGATATGACGTATGCTCACATGGTCTGTGCACGCTCTCCTCCTCTCTCCGTGCTGCGTTGCATGAGGTATCGTCTGTCCGTCTTTTCCGACCCTTCTCTTTTTCTTCTTCTTTTTGTTTTATGTAGTATGAACAAGGGGAGGGGGGAGGGGGGGGGATGGATGGAAATACTCGTATGATTCGCCAAGAAAAAGCTTGTCCATCATAAGCCGTGGGGACTGTGCATGGATCAGGAGTACGAGTACTGCGACGTAGCGGTTAGACTGGAACTGGTAGAACTGTACGGATCAGTACGAGTAGCATCATGGTCACTGCGAGTGATGCATGCCTCGGTATAGGGAGTATATACCTGAGCACGGCTAAGTAATAGTGATAGCAACAGTATATCTACATGTATATACATATGTACAGGTACGTCGTATGCAGTTGGGTACCGAGATACCCGAAGCAGCTTCACATATCAGCACAGATTATCACTCCGTACTCGCTACTGCTATCAGTACTAACTCATCAAATACAAGCATTCGATATTACTGCTACTCGAGTTGGTGTCACTGCTCCGTTAAGATGATACTACTAGCAGCACTCATTATATACTCGCACGTATTGTATGCAATCGATTACTAGGGACCCGACACTTGGGTTCATCGCTTCTCTTGGCAGATTCTTACCTCCGGCTTGGCTACTCCACTGTCAAGGATGACCTCTCTCTTACCTTTTCCTGCCTCGTCTGTTTCCTTGCCTATCATGTTGACGGAGAAGGAAGAGGAAGAAGAAGGAGAGAGAAGAAGAAGAAGAAGAAGAAGAAGAAGAGAGGGAGGGAGAGAGAGAGAGAGATGTGTGTGTGTGGAACAGCTACTCCCAAACGGACGACACCAGACCTCATCCTGTATTATTAGATTAATATATACGAATATACATACAAGCCGGCAAGTGGGGGAGAGCAGCGGTCATGAACCAGCTTTTTTTTCTTTTTTTTGTCTTTTTTTTGTCTTTTTGGCTCTTTTGCTCTTCTCATATCGCGTCGAGGAACAGAGAAGTAGCACAGAGCCGAGATTCGTTCACGGCATGACCAGTTGGCAGCTGGCCATGGCCATGTGTCTTCCTTATTGTCGTATCACGTCGTACTACCCGCCGCCTCGAGTTGAGAGGACCGGTCCCTCAGGTACTCCGTACGAGACTGACGAGCGCACACGCATGAACCACCGCCGTCGTGGCACACTGTCTGTTTCGACTGTATGCTGCGAGGCTCAGGAGGATGGAGAAGTGGCGTCATGGGGATCCAATTATCATGAGAAATTGTCTCTGCTACTTGTCAGGGGGGGGAGGGGGGGCTGGGAGGGAAGAGCATTACAGGTTACTCGTGCACGAGTACGTCCCAGCCGTCGTTTTATCGACATGCACGGATTAAATCTGTACACGACCCATCTCAACCGAAGACGCATGGTGCCGATGCAGCCACGACTGCATTATCCTGATCCGTGTACGCATCTCTTCTCGTACTCGGGAAACCGTCTCTCGGTCCTGTTGTGTGTGTGTTTTGTTTTCTTCTCCTTCTCTTGTCGATACGTGAAATCCCCCATCACACCTGACATGTTGCGTCTCTTCCGCACAAGCACCCCGAGTCCCCGTACTCTGCATCCGTACATCTCTTACAATCCTTTCACGATTCTTTCACAAGAGAGAGAGAGAGAGAGAGAGGGACAGAGAGGGACAGAGAGGGGGACAGAGGAGGGAGAGAGGGAGGGAGAGAGGGAGAGAGGGAGACCACACCCTCTAACCCACCCACCCCGGAACAATAGCCCACACTTCATTCTCGTGGCAACGGATACAGATCGACATGCCATGCATGTATCCATTCATCAGTACTTGCAACGACAACCAACCAGCTCTTCACCCCCCCCCCCCCCCCCCCTTTTCTTTCGTGGCGCGGCGGTTGTGCCTTGACAGCTGTACAGATTACAGATTACTTGTGCGGAGTGATAATATAGCGTAGTGTAGGTAAGGATTCTGAAGAGGGAAGAAAAGGAGAGGAAGAAAAAAAAAAACCCCTCCGGGAATATTATGTGTACTCGACGCTCGTACTGATACCGTCATGTACGCCTGGAGATGATAGACTGCCCCTGATCAGTCTCTTGTAATCTGTACAAGTGGAACATTGGTATAGTCGTGTGGCTTGCTCCCTCATACTCGTCGTACCCTGCACTCCCGTCCTGCTTACCTACGCTATGATATGATTTACGATGTACTGTGAAAAGTAGAATGAGGAAGAGAAGAAAGATGGAGGAGGGATAGAGATGATGAATACGTAATATATGAACCATCATTCACACACACTCATATATATATATATATATATATATGCAACTCCTACCCTACCTCAACGAGCACTTCCCTATAGCTTTAATTGTAATTTGATAGCAAAGTTCCTCATAATACGCTCTACGAGTACGTCGTAGTACAGGGTAGGGGGTCCACCCGTACATCGTCCCTGCCGTCACGATATTGGGGGGGGGATCGACCTCTGAGCCTCTCGCGACACGTAACCCAGGACATGTACGGCCACGATCCCCCCTCCCCCCCCCTTATATCGTGACGACCAACATGTAGACAGGAGAGATTCCGAGAGAGATTTTCCAGATGAGGCGACTTCTTTTTTTTTTTCTTTTTTTCCCCCCCTTTTTTTCCCCCTCCTCACCTCATTTTCAATTCCTCTCTCCAATCCTTTCTCAACCTTCTTGTCATAGAACATGTACACATGGCTTAGGTAAGCGGGACTCGACTATAAAACAGTCGAGTCCATCGCTCCAAAGATAATAAATCAAGAACTTGACACCACACAACACCTTACCTGTCTTTTGATGCATGTGAGCGTGTTAGTGGTGTGTTATCACACACGCCACTACGCGTGTCAACGTACAAACGGTTGATTCTCTGAAAATAACAAACGCTTCTCGAGAGAAGTCTTGCACGTGTCGGATCACGCTCTTCAGCTACGGGATCCGACACCGTTCTTGTCGAATCCAACAACCAAGGACATCTCTGCTTTTCCAGGTCACCCCCAAAGACCAAGAAAAACATGACACTTCTCTTCATGATATTCTTCTCGTTCAAAAAAATGACCTTTTTCTCTCTCTCTTCTTTCTGAAGAATCAATATTCCCTGTGGAAACGGTGAAGAGAGTTAGTTACCGGGGAAGAAAAAAAAAAAAGGTAATATTATCTAGAAGGACAGCTTGTGCTGGTGACAGGTGATTCGTCCCGTGTATACATGTGCCGTGGAGAGTAGAGAGTGAGAGATAGAGATATAAAGACAGGTGAGAAAAAAAAAGGAGTTAAAAAAAGACAAGAAAAGACAGGAGAGAGAAGGGAGAGAAAGAAAGAGAAGGAAAAAAAAAAGGCCCAATTATACCCTGACGCCGTGCCTGATGCATACATAAGATTTTCCCGTTCCCACATCATACTCTTTTCACCCGTATTTTTATTTTATTTTGGTTGTTGTCTGGTTCTTGTACGGTCAAGTTCACATCATCTCTCCCCCTCTCCCTCTTTTCCCGGTCAAGAGAGGAACCGAAGAGAGAGGCATCGGAACGGAAGACTAGTGCTCCAGCCAGTCGAGGAACTGAGGAGTAAAGTAGCTGACGACGATGGTGGCACCGGCACGCAGGATACCCTCGGTCGACTCGAATGCCATGGTCTGGAGGTCGAAGACGCCGGCCTTGGCGGCGGCGTGGATCATGGCGTACTCGCCGCTGACCTGGTAGGCGGCGATGGGGAGGTCCTTGCCGAGCTCCTTGGCGTCGCTGATGATGTCGAGGTACTGGCTGGCGGGCTTGACCATGATCACGTCCGCACCCTCGCCGATGTCGCGGGTGATGGCGCGGCGGGCGAGGCCCCTGCCACCCGGAGGGAGCTGGTAGCACTTGCGGTCGCCGAACGAGGGCGCAGAGCCGGCGGCGTCGCGGAAGGGCCCGTACAGGCAGCCGGAGAACTTGGCCGAGTACGACATCAGCGTCGTCTTGTGGGCTATGCCCTCCTCGATGAGCTTGAGCTTGATGGCGCGGATGCGGCCGTCGTTCATGTCCGAGGGGGCGACGCAGTGCGCGCCCGCCTTGGCGTAGGCGATGGCCACGTCCGAGATGCGGTCCACCGACAGCTGGTTGTTCAGGCTGCCGTCGTCGCGCAGGATGCCGCAGTGCCCGTGCGACGTGTACTCGCACAGGCAGACGTCGGTGCAGATGAAGAGCTGCGGGAAGCGTCGGCGGATCAGGCGGATGCCCTGGATCACGGGGCCCTCAGGGTCGTCGGCCGCGCTGCCGAGCGCGTCCTTGGTGCCGGGACGCAGGGGCACGCCGAACAGCATGACCGATCGGAGTCCCTTGCGCACCAGGGGCTCCAGGAAGGGGACGAGCTTGTTCAAGCCCAGCTGGTGCTGGCCCGGAAGGGACGGCACCAGGGACATGTCGTCGGGGCCGTCTGTGATGAAGAGGGGGTAGATGAGCATGGACTGTGTTGGAGGAGGGGAGAGAAAAAAAAAAGTCAGTATTTTCATCTGATGTATGCGTGAATTGACCCACGGAACTCCCCCCCCCCCCCAATCTCTCTCTGTATTGAGAAGTATCGAGAATTGAGCGAGCGCAGGAGAGAGATGAGACATACCTTGGTCAGCTGACGCTCAGCCTGCCACGAACGAGCAAGCGGGTGAAAGTAGCCGCCGTGAAGCTGACTGGAGATGTCGCCCGAGATGCTGACGCTCGTAGCGACGGTGCTGGCACGGGACATGGCCCGCGAGAGGTGAGAGGCCTGGTCGTCCATTGTCGATGCGACCGAGGGGGCCGCGGGACGACGGAGGGGGTGGCCGCTGGTGCTGCCGTTGCCGTCACGGTCCCGCAGGCTGAGGTCATGGACGAGGCTGGAGAAGGACATGGCGGCGGTGGCGGTGAGGGGATTTGCTGTGTGTTGCGATATCTGAAATCGGTTGAAATCGGTTGAAATCGGTCGGGGATGGGAAGAGGGAAGCTAAGCTCGCTCTCTCTTGACGGTTCGCTCCGATGCCTTGTTTTTTTTTTTTCCTCTGCTTGTTTCTTGTTATATGTACACGTAAGAAAGAATCCCGACGGTTGCTCTCAATCAGGAAAAAGACCCAGAGGGAGAGAGAGAGAGGTTGAAGCGATGAGGGGAAGGCGATGCCGTGGCGATGGAGGGATGGATGTCTTTTTTTGTTTTTTTTTTTTGGGTTCATGTACGGAGAAAGGGATTCCTTTTTGTTCGCATTCTCTTCCCTCGGAATGAGAGACATAAGTCCGTCGGTCTTGCCGACTTTCGCCTTCTCCCCCCCCTTGCCGATACAAAATTCGTTTCGTTTATCCAATCAGCCCGCTGTATTTTCCAATCCCGCGCGAACAGAATCCCTATTATCCGTTACGGATTACTCGTGCTCGTACAGGTTCCTACACATCTTCCCCTGAGAATCCGCTAAAAAAGTCGCACTAGAGTCGAGTCCGGGTGCTGACCTACAGGCTATTGGTGCGAACCTGCCCTCCCCCCCCCCCCCCCCCCCCCCCCCCCCCCCCCCCCCCCCCCCTGGCCCTGCCCCCTAACCTGTCCCCAACCTGCCCCTGATAGGCTACGCAGCGTCCCCCAGGCCCTATAGGGGCTATGGGCTAGGCCAAGGACGCCACCGTAGCGGTGCCCTGGCAGATGGCCACGGGCCACGGGTGCTGGCTGAGGTCCCGGTGCCTGCCACGGCTATTGATCATCCAAAACACCTGATATGAAACCCTGCTCTTACAGTACTGTCGATATGACGAGTACATGTACGTACTCGCAGTCTCAGCCCGTACAGGCAGGCATTCACATGCGGAGAGAGAGAGAGAGCGGGATCTATAGACTACAGTACATGTAACCTGTACTCCGTATTGCATGCATTGTTAGACGTAGTCTCCATGATATTGATCAACGTGGTCTTGGTCTTGCCCATTGGAGAGCACACGATCGACGACGCCTCCTCCCTTGCTGGTGTTGGAACGTCTATCCAAAATCTTTTGTCGGTGATGGAGGGACGATGTCGGGATATACATTATGTATGTATATATATATAGATATATATATACATATGCACGTGCAACTCGCCACCGTTGAAGCCGGCCTTGCCAATGGCTGTAGACCTCGGTTCGGATGATCAGACACGTCACTACCGGGGAGAGGGGAAAGAGATCTGATATTCCTCTATAGCCGTCAGACTTTTGTACTACGGTTGTCTCGACGCCGCATGTGCTTCTTTCCCTACGCTCTCCCGCTACAGGAACGAGTAGCGGCATCGCTGGCAGTGATGGGTCCTGACGTGAGTATGAGAGAAGGGATTCTCGCCCTTTCCTCTTCTTCTCTTCTCTTCTTCCCCTTGTTCCCAACCACTCCTGCATCGACACGCGTGGATTCATTCCACAGTCGGGTAGAGTCACCGCGCATTCCCCCTTCGGATATCATCATCGGCATCACGAGCGGTGATTCGTCTGGTCAGCGTGGCCGGTCGGGCGCCGGATTCCGAGCGGGGTGGCGAGTCGTCTGACATCATTGCCGAGGAGCCATCGTTCACTACGCCTTTACCGGCGGTAGAGGCGAAGATCTTGGACGCGTCGGAACGCCTAGGACACCAAGATGAGGCTGTCGACCGAGCGCTGGCAGAGATCCCATCGGGAGATGCGTGCCGGTTCTGACCGGTTGTCGCAGGAGAACGAGGCCCGGCGAGGAGGCTGAGCTGACACTGGACGGTGACGCCAACATGGTGGTGGCCCGCGCGAATGCGTTGGCTATTCCGACCGGCGGCAGGACATTCCCTCTGCGCTCATCGATTCGAGCGGAGTGGATAGAAGGAGGGGAACGCAGCGGGGCAGAGCTGGCAAGAAGCGAGTAAAACGAGCGACTGGATACGGAGGAAAGGATGAGTTTTCTTGAGGGACAGAGTGAGAGTATACCTGTATGGACGTGTAGACGGAGCCGTGCGAACGGGGTGGATTGCGTAAGCAATGTGCTTCCGATCGGGGACAGTTCTGCTCTCTTTCCTTTTTCCCCATCGTGCCTGTTCATTTGGTGGGAAGAGACGGCTGCTAGTAGTGTTTACATGTACGGATAGTGGCCAAAACAGCCTCTCCTCTTATGAGGTGAGCTTTACCCGTACGAACAGTGGGGCCACCCCGTAGCTTGGCAACCTTGTGGGCAATTAGGTACGAGATACGTCGTACGGTCGGTCACCGCACCAGATGACGACGGGAACGGACGTATTCTTTGCGCCCCCTCCTTGGCGACAGCTACCATCCCGGACACATACACATGGACATAAAATCGACGTCGACACCCCCAGACACCGACATCCTCACAACTTTGAAGGGGTCCAGAATTGAAGAAGAGAGCCAAAAACACCACCCACCCCTCCCGAAATCCCTTACGAGGGCATCGCCCCCTCCCCCGCCCTCCTCCAGTTTCTTCTCCTTCTCTTTCGAAACCCTGCCCCTCCTCCCCTCCACATCCCATGAACAGCTAGGCCTGACCTCCGCGACCCTGCCCCTCCATCCATAACAGGCGCCATGGATATCGGGGCCGCCGAGAACAGCAAAGGTAGCGGCCAGCAGCGCCCGCGCCCCCTACCCACCGATCTACCCACCTCCCTCGACGACAGGAGGCATACGGCCGGCGAGAACTTTGTCAGCGAGACGGAAATGTACGATGGCTGGCAGGGGGAGTCGCAGTTCCTCACCACCCCGGCCCCGGCCAAGCCCCTCAACTTTGGCAACCTGTCGCTCGACGACGACGGCGACGACGACAGCTACGGCGCTGTCGGCGGCGGCATGGTGGCCGGCGGACCCAAGGACAGCGACACGCGCCTCATGGAGATGCTGGCCGCTCAGGCGAACCACCTGTCCGGTCCGGGCGTCGAGGACGAGCAGGCCATCGTCGACGACGAGAAGCTGCCCGAGTCGGAGAAGAAGACTGCGCTGCAAAGGGCCCTGAACATGGCTGCCAGCAACGGAGACGTGGACAGGGTCAGGGGGCTCGTGACCGGGCCGGCCAAGCCGTTCGTCGACGTCAACGGTCCGGACGAGGATGGCACGCCCCCTCTCATATACGCCAGCTGCTTTGTACGTCACCGCCTTTTGATCCGCAAGGGTCCGGAGCATACGCGTCTTCTTCATGTGTGCACCGGCAAAACCTGTCTGTCTGCCTTCTAACGCATCTACGCATCCCAGGGCCACGAAGCAGTCGTCCAGGCCTTGATCGAGGCCGGCGCCGACGTCGACAAGCAGGACCAGAACCAGTGGAGCGCACTCATGTGGGCCATGACGAACCGCCACAAGGGGATCGCCAAGCTTCTCCTGGACAATGGGGCGTCGTCGGACCAGAAGACGTCGTCGGGCCGCACGGCCTTTGACTTTGTGCCGCCCGACAGCGAGATGTCCTACTACCTCCACGATAACGGCTACAGCATCGGCACCAGCGGCATGCCCGACGACTTCTACAGCCCCGGGTTCTCCCAGGACAGGTTCGAGGAGGAGATGGCCGAGAATGAGATGAGGACCAGGCTCATGATGGAGAGTGCCCGAGATCTCGAGGTTGATCTGGGCAATGTGGGGATGGATGACCAACCTGAGGTATGACCCTGACTCTGCACCGGGAGAAAGGAGAAGGAGGATGTCGAGTGAAGAGAGGACCATCTCAAAGGGGAGAGAGAGAGGGGGAGAGAGAGGGGGGGAGAGAGAGGGGGGGAGAGAGAGAGTGGGCAAGAATGCTGACGTGGTCTGTAGCCCATGGACGAACTGGAAGAGGAACAGCAAGAATTCGACTGGAGCCGGTGTCTGCACGATCAGATGTTCGTGTTCCAGGAGCACGAGCTGGACCGGATCCTAGACATCATCATCACCAAGATGACGCCGCAGCGGTCGCCGTCGCAGAAACCGGTACCGGCCAACATGATATTCCTGAGCGCGCGGTACGCGCACTACCACTCGAGCGCGGAGCTGCTGGAGCGGCTGCTGGTGACGGCCATGGACCGGATCAACGACGTGGTGGAGAGGTTCCAGTGGGACATGACGATCCTGGCCTTCTGGATATCCAACGCGACGCTGCTGCTGCACTACCTCAAGAAGGACGCCGGCCTGGTGGAGGCGACGTCGGAGTTCCAGGCGCACCTGGCGGAGCTGATCAACGAGATCTTCATACTGATCGTGCGGGACGCCGAGCGGCGGCTGGACAAGGTGCTGGACGCGGCCATGCTGGACCACGAGACCATCCCGGGCTTCGAGGACATCACCTTTCAGAACGAGTGGAAGCTGTTCAAGCGCAAGAACACGGTCAAGGAGGAGCCTCCCGAGAAGCGGTTCCGGCCGCCGTCGCCGAAGCAGAGGGCCAAGCCGGCGCCGCGCAACGTCACGTCGCTGCTGTCGTCGACGCTGTTCGTGCTGGACCTGTACGACGTGCACTCGGTCATCGCGGCGCAGATCGTGTCGCAGCTGCTCTACTGGATCGGCGCGGAGCTCTTCAACCGCGTCATGTCGAACCGCAAGTACCTGGCGCGCACGAAGGCGATGCAGATCCGGATGAACCTGTCCATACTCGAGGACTGGGCGCGCACCAACAACCGGCAGGCGGAGCACTACGAGGCGGGCGACATGCAGTCGTCGGGGGAGACGACCGGCGACGCGGCGCGGCAGCACCTGGCACCCGTCATCCAGCTCCTCCAGTGGCTGCAGTGCTTCTCGTCGCTGGGCGCCGACGACCTCGAGGCGCTGGTGGGCACGCTGCAGCAGCTCAAGCGGCTGACGCCGCAGCAGCTCATGCACGCGGCGCAGCACTACCGGCCCGAGGTGGGCGAGAAGGGCCTGCCCAAGTCGGCGACGAAGTACCTGACGGCCATACAGAAGGAGGCGGCGCTGAAGCGGGACCGGAGGCGGAGCAGCCGCAACCCGGCATCGTCGCCGCCCACGACGCCCAAGAAGGTGGCCGGCGGCATCGGCCAGCAGCAGGCCACGCCCGGGACCGACGCAGGCGAGGGCAACAATCACTACGGCAACGACGGCCAGAACGGCCACGGCTCGGGCGACGATACGGACGACGAGGCGCCGGAGCACCTCCTCATGGACCCGGCCATGATGCTGCCCTTCACCCTGCCGTCGGTGACGGACATGCTGGTCTCGTACGGCGCCGGGTTCGGCGGCGTCAACAGGGAGAGGGAACGCAAGTACATACCCACGGTGCCGGCCGAGTTCCTGGACAAGTTGGAGATCAGCGGGGGTCAGCAGCGTAGGGGACCGATGTTTCAAGAAAAGGATTGGGAGAATGAAGAGGTCTGATTGATTGTGTGTGTGTTTTTTTTTTTTTTTTGGGGGGGGGGGGGGGGGGG